CACCACGGAGTGCCCGTTTTTCTTCCTATTTTAGCATCACCTAGTGCTCCCCTCTCTCTGCCCTGATGCCCCACCACACACAGGGCCGCGTTTCCTCTTGCACAAGCCATCCGTCCTAACATCAGCAAGACTGACAGCACGTGGCAGTGCTGGTCACTCACGTGGGCTGAGAAACAGCATCAGGTTCTCTTTCTTCTTCTACCCCTTGCTTTCGCTGGAGCACACCCTCCAGTAGCCTTTTTGAGACAAGATGAGCGGAGGCACAGTTTGGAGGACAACATGCACCTGCAAATGTCCTCACCCTAGGCATTCACACCCTTGGTCTGGATGTAGAAATTAGGTTTGGAAAACATTCTGTTCTGCAGACACTGCCCCGCCGCTGCAGGCAGGGGCCATGGTGTCCTGATTCTACACTTTCCTGGGATGTAGGGCTTGGGGGTTGCTGTTCCCCTCTGAAAAGTTGCAAGGTCCTGTCTTGGCCCTGTTCAGAAACTACCTGAAGCTGAGCTTCACTGGGGGCCTCTCGTCACTGTTCTGGGTGCTCAGTTGGCTTCACTGGGGGCCTCTCATCATTGTTCTGGGTGCTCAATTGGCTTCACCTGGGGTCTCTCATTGTTCTGGGCGCTCAATCAGCTTCACTGGGGGTCTCTCATCATTGTTCTGGGCGCTCAATCAGCTTCACCTGGGGCCTCTTGTCATTGTTCTGGTTGCTCAATCAGCTAGAAGCATGTGGCTTTTCATTCCAGAACTTGGAAGTGTGTTTTCAGGTATCTTCAGGCCAGGCTCAGCCCTTCCCAGGCATTGCACATGTCACAGAATGGGAACCCCAAAGGGGTTGCAGCAACAAGTAAATCTGACTGCACGATTTATAGGGGACACTGAGGCCCAAGACTCGACGTGTTTGAGTCAGGACTGGCTCAGTCTCTCTCCTTTCATCTTCCTCCCCTCCCTTCTCTTCTTTTGGTGCCATTGTCATTAAAATCTCATCTCTGGCATTGAACGGTTAATGCCAGTAAACACTTATATGGACCCATCACTGTGCTCAGATGTCTCATGTTGGTTTCAGCATTTCGTGTGTGCAATAAAACAGACAGCTTGCCCTACTCTGCAGATAAAACACTAAGGCTCTGGGAGATAAAATGCTTCCTCACATCAAAATAAGTGGCAGGTTTTTCTAGCCTTGCTGGGAGACTTCTCTGCTCATGTGCAATGCTAAGGGCAGAGCAAAAAAGTCATAATAATACCCTGGGCTTGTAGCTGAACAATACAGCTCAAAATTGTATTGTTTTGGTACTGTTCTTGGTACATTACCTGTGAGTCCAATTAACCTCATAGTTTCCCTATGAAGTAGTCGATTATATTATTATCCCCATTTTACAGGTAGGAAGACTAAGGGTCAAAGACAATCACTAATTTGCCATGGGTGCCACAGAGAATAAGCACAGAGGCGGGATTTCAGTGCAGGCGGCCTGGCTCAGTGGTCCAGGCCCGTGTCCATTGCTAGACTGACGCCCTGAAGCAAACAGGGCACCAGTTTCTGGTCTCTGGATGGGCCCTGACCCTCGCAGGGCCACTTTGGGGTCTGGAGCTGAAATACAATCCTCATCACTCTCCACTTCCTGGCACTGTTTCCTTCTTCAGGAACTTTCTAGCATGTGGTTCATGTATTGACTGTTTATTTCCTGGGGCCCCGCTAGAATGTGAGCGCCAACGGGGTGAAGATTCCATGTGCTCATGTCTCAGGGCCCTGTACATGGTAATAGCGGGCACCCACCACATACCTGTGGAGCCTCCTTGACCCAAGTCAGAGAGCAGCGCTGGGAGGATGGGCAACCCCCAGCCAGAAAGGAGATGTGCAGTCTGGGCAGGCAGTGGGCTGAAGGGGTGTCTCTGGGACCCCTGAGCTCTGGCTAAGTACAGTGGGGTGTCCTTTCACAAGCCCTTCCCAGCCTGGCAGTAGAGAGCCATTGTGCAAGGCAAAGCCCTGGGCTCAAAGGGAGAGGACCCCAGAGGGAAGTTCAGGTGACAAGGAGGAGAACCAGGTTTGCACCAGGGGAATGGAGTGAGGCCGCTGACCCTATCTCAGCTTCCTCTGTGAAGTGGGCAGGGATAAACAACACAGCTCAGGGACGTTGGGGAGTGAGGACCAGGCTTTGTATAGTGCAAGGATAGCGCCTGGCACACAGCAGGTACCATGCCAGCCTCAGCTGGGGTTACCAGGAAAGCGTCTGCCCTTGTTATGTGAGCTTGGGCTGGGCTGCAGGGAACCGAACCTCTAGGGGGGAAGACTTCAAGACCCAGTCAGCGAGCTGGGCTTGGAGCCATCCCTCCCACCCAGTGTGCCCCACCCCGTGCCACAGTGGTGGATGGGGCTGGTCAGTGCCCACCACCACGGAGGCAGCCGGGCTGAGTCTGAATCCTGGCTCTGCTATTTCCTAGTGGCATGTATGTGGGTTTGCTGCTGAACCTCTTTGTCCTCAATTTCCTTGTATGCCATATGCTCTTATTAACATAGAATGAAGAGAGCTAGCATCTCAGAAGTGTGGAAACAAGGCTGCCAGTGGCCTTTATGAAAGCTACAGAGAAGCATCTTGTGTGGGTGGAATGTCCCTGATTTTTCGTTGAGGAGCCTGAGCTCACGGGTGGCAGTTCCCCAATGTGGCCACTAGATGGCGCGCGCGATCCTTTCTGCCTCCCAGAACTAAAATAATTCCGGGAGAAGGAAGCTGCCTTCACCTCCAGAGACTGGGCTGCGCCCTCAGGCCACATTCTCAAATAGGCCTCACAGCTGCTCTCAGAATAAAGGACATATTTTAAACATTTATTTACATATGCATACAAGAACTGTAGTGTAGGATGCAGAAATGCAGGGGCTAAGAGGATTCAGCAGAGACAGAGTGAGGAGCAGAACAGGCAGATTGACTGAAATATGCCGCTGAGGGGAGCAGGCGAGACTGGAGTGGTCTGCTGCACCCCGTGAGTCAGCAACTTGCCTAGGGATGGAACTTGTGCTGAAGCGGCTGCAGACAGCTCCATAGTGCTGCGCTTTAAGGTTCAGGGCTCCTGCTGCACCGAGAGCCTGAGGCTCAACAGGCCAGTGGCCACTTTAAGATCACACAGGGGTCACAAGGGGGTGGCACAGGAGGCCCCCCGCGTGATCTTAAAGTGGCCACTGGCCTGTTGAGCCGCAGGCTCTCGGTGCAGCAGGAGCCTTATACCTTCCCTATTTGTGGGGTATTTCAAAAACCAAACCACCCTGGAGCTGACACTCATGCGCGCTCGCTACACACCAGCATCACCATCCACACCTTCCTCCCATCTCCACCCTGACTCCCCCTTCTTTCTCTGCGCCTGGATCTGTGCTCCTGGGTCCGGAGGATGTCCTAGTGTGTGCCCCGGGGCAGCCCACCACAGCTGTTGTCCCGTTTAGGCCAACTGCTGTACCCTGAAGCCTCATCCTCCCCAAGACTCGCCCGCCTTCACCCCAGTGGTCTGAGCCCACTCACCCCGTATCACCAGCGGCTTTCAAACTGGCTTTAAGGTCAAAAGTTTTGTGGGGGTTCCTGGGGACTTTGAGGGGAGACGCGGGGCAGAAAGATGGAGTCCTGAGATGAAGTCGCCTTGATGACAATGAACAGCTCTGGTTTTACCTAGTTTTTCTGGGGTCTCATGTAATATTCTGCTGGTAAAAAACCCAAAACAGGCCCTCCCTGGTGGCGCAGCGGGTTAAAGCGCAGCACTGAGAAGCTAAAGCCACTTCAGCATGAGTTCGATTCCCGCCTGCCCCGGAGGTGACCACATGGCGCGGCAGACCTCTCCTGACCCGCCCGCTGCTCCCCTCAGCAGTGTACTTCGAGGATCTGCCTGTTGTGCTCCCCACTCTGTCTCTGGTGAAGCCTCTCGCCACCCCTGAGCCTCTGACTTGTATCCCAGTTCTGTATACACAAATAAATAAATCTTTAAAAAAACAAAAAACAATACAAAAAACCCAAAACATCAAAAGCCACTCTAGTTTACCTTGTGAAGCCCGACATTGAGCCGGTCAGAGGAAATCTCCAGGGAGGAGAATCTGTTTGGACTGAGTTATATAAAATTAATTTCCAAAGTGATAAGGTGGACAAACACAAATATTCCATTGTACCGTTTGCATAGAAAAATCTTTATTTATTTATTTATTTAAAGATTTATTTATTTATTCGTACAGAACTGGGGTACAGGCCAGAGATGCGGAGGGTGAGAGGATTCACCAGAGACAGAGTGGGGAGCAGAACAGGCAGATCAACGAAGTACACTGCTGAGGGGAGCAGCGGGCAGGTCAGGAGAGGTCTGCCGGGCCATGTGGTCACCTCCGGGGCAGGCGGGGATCGAACTCATGCTGAAGTGGCTTAAGCTTCTTTGTGCCGTGCTTTAGCCCGCTGCGCCACCAGGGAGGGCCCGAAAAATCTTTATTTTTTAAAAATCAAATTCATAGATACAGAGAGTAGATAAGTAGCTGCCAGAGGCTGGGGCTGGGGGCTTAGGGAGAGGTTGATAAGCGGTAACAGATGGGCAACTCAGGTGAATAAGGTCTAAAGGCTCATGTAAAATGTGATGATCTAGCTATTAACACTGTATTGAATACTTAAAATTTTCTGAGGCATAAAACTTAAATGTCCCCTCTCCCCCATTAAAATAAATATGTGAGATGAGTCTAATGACTGCTGGGGGTTTCCTTCGGTGTACCTATCTCAAACCACCACGATGTATGCTTCCCTATCTCACCATTGATTTGCCACTGAGACCTCCATCAAGCTGAAGTACACATATAAACAAGCAAATAATTTCTAGGACAAATAAGGTTTCACTTTTGAATGATAATAATTTGGGGATTACCTGCGACCCCACTTGCCACCGTCACTCACCTAGTGAACCGGGGGTCATCCTGTGCTTCTGACCTTGGAGCGGCCATTCGAATGTCCTGCCCACCTTCTCCTAAGGTCTTTGCTCTTTCTGTCTTGTAGTGCCCTGGTTCCCGAGAACCATCCAGGAACTGGACAGATTTGCCAATCAGATCCTCAGCTACGGAGCGGAGCTGGATGCTGACCACCCTGTGAGTCCAGGGGGCTCTGGAGGGGCTTCTTCCAGTCCTCCCCTCCCTGCCCTTTCCTCCCCTTCAGAGTCTTCGTGGGCTTGCACGACAGGTGTTTTATCGACTGCCTGCATATACATTAGCACATCGTCACGTGGCCACGGCTCGTGCTCAGCACATCTGAATCATCCCCCAGAAACCATTATTTATATCTGTTAGATGACGTAGGTTTGTACACACACACACACACACACACATACATGCAAATCATCTTTATTTCTGACTTGGTACAATTGCTGAGGTTTACAGGCAGTACTGGGGCAACAGCAGACAACACTATCCATGCCGCTGGGGGGAGGAGGGAGGGGATGGGAAAAGAGGGGGGCAACAATAGCTGCATCTAAAACATTGGGTAGAAGATGCAAAGCAATTGGAGCATCTAGGCTGAGGGAACAGTATATGCGAGTCTTTGCTACCGAAAGTATCAGGAATATTCTGGGGACTGAGTGGTGACTGTGTTAGCTATCTCTATGCAGTGTGTGTGTTCTTTATTGCCACAGCATGTATGCATGCACACACTCACACACATGTACAGAGTATGTGTGTGTGCGCATTTGTGCCCACATGTATACTGCACACAGTGCCACCACGTGTGGTCCCCACGGCGAGCGTGTGGCTTCCTGCACGCCACTGTCATCATCATTGCATCATTGAGCATATTCTTTTTTTTTTTTTAAAGATTTATTTATTTGTACATACAGAACTGAGGTACAGGCCAGAGGCAGAGGGATGGTAAGAGGCTTCACCAGAGACAGTGGGGAGCAGAACAGGCAGATCTATGAAGTACACTGCTGAGGGGAGCAGCGGGCGGGTCAGGAGAGGTCTGCCTCGCCATGTGGTCACCTCCGGGGCAGGCGGGAATCAAACTCATGCGGAAATGGCTTTATCTTCTCAGTGCTGTGCCTCAACCCGCTGCGCCACCAGGGAGGGCCCATTGAGCATATTCTTACTGGTGCATTGGCAGGTGACATCCCCACAGCTTCCTTGGCTCTTGTGCAATGACTCAGTCGGGGAATAGAAATTGCACATAAAGCTCTAAGTAGATGTTACTTAAACACCCTCTCCAGCAAGAAGCATAATTTGGGGGGTTGTGATCCCCATGCCCTTTTTTCCTGCCTGCAGCCTGCCTGCACCCGCTCCCATGAGTCTGAGGAGAAAGAAGCTGTGCATGCCCTCTGCTAGGCGCTGGGCTCGTAGCTGTGGGTCCTGGAGGCCCTGCACTCCCAGAGTTAAGGTTTCTCAGCAGAGCTGCCTGGTGCCCATGACCCAGTCCCCAAGCTTGGCCCACGGGTGTTTTCCTTCACTGTCCCACCTCCACCTTGACTTTCCTTTGGTCACATTCCCTCCTCATTTGGAGCAGAGTCACGGTGGCTGTTTCTCTCCCTTCATCTACGTGTTCCTCAGCGGTGATCAGGTCTGGTCTTAAAAGTCCCTGGAATTTATTCTTCTTCACAGATCCAGTCCACATTGTTGGCTCCCTGGCCTCTCATGAATTTTACCATAAAATACGATTTATCAGGTACATGGTCCCCCTGACCAGGACGCCAGGCTCTCTCTGTTCCTTTCTTGTGGCTTCTCTTCAGAGCCCGGGAGACCAAGGGCCAAGGACAGAGTAGACCTCCAGAGTGATTCCCCACAGCCCAGGCCCCATGCAAGGAGCAGCTGGTGCTCTTCTTGGCAGCACCCACTTGTTCCCACACCCCAGCCCCCCATCACCCCTCTTGTGTTGGGGCTGGATCCAACTGTCAACTTGGTTGAGTCTGTTTAAAATTTTCCCCTCCCCCACCCCTTTCTTTTTCCTCTTCCCTCGAAGCCCTCATGGTGTGTATTAAAGTCACTAGTTCTCTTTAATAGTTTACTGTATCAAATAGTCTGATGTGTGTGTGTGTGTGTGTGTGTGTGTGTGTATACACATATAGGTGTTTTACTTGTCATTCTGACTTGGTTTCTATATACAAGTGCTTCTAATTTTGCTGAACATGGCTGGGTTTCTTCTTCCTTTGACTGAATAGCACTCAGGTGCATGGTCACCTTGATCCAACCACCTGTTGAGGGGCATTGAGACTGCTCCTGCGTCCTTGCTACTACTCACAGTGTGGCCGGGGGCTACTCCCTTAATGTTCTTCTCAACTTTTATTTCCTGCCACTTTGCACAAGCATAATTTTGGAAGTGTTTTGTACTTAGGATTCTACTTGATGCTGTGCCTTAATGGCCCAATCTCATGCCCACAGCACTGTGAGGCGATCACCATTAACATCTCATTTTCCCGATGAAGAAACTCAGGCTCTGAGAGGTGAGCTGACCAGCCTTAAACCATGCTCTGGGTGAACCAGTGTGCTGGTATTTTAACCCACTTTGTCCAACCTTCAAACCCCTGTTCCTTGTCATCCAAAAGTGGCATTTCTGAGTTTCAACCAAGTCATGACATCAAAAAATGGTAAATATTTCAGTCTAGAATATTCTGTACACTTACCATCCCTCTACTCCCCCACAAAACAAAATCACACCTCTCAACACCCCAAGTAATGAAAATTCTGAGATGAAAAAAGTCATCCCATGTAGGCTGCCAGTAGAGTGTCCTGTAGAGTGTCTCCACTACCTTACCTTCTCTCCCCTTCCCTCCTCTCCTCCCTCTACTCTCTCCTCCCTCTCCTCCACCACTCTTTCACCAACAATATATTTTCCTGTCAAAACATACTTGGTTACATGCCGTGCAACCAAAATTGCTGCTATTAGCTTAATTGAGACAGGGCGATTATAAATAAATTACATGCAGTGCTACTGAAATTGCTGCTATTAGTCTAAATTGAGACAGGGTGATTAGTCATCACCAACTGTAGCTTCATTCAGCTTGTGGCCCCCAAGCTGCTGGAGGGGTCCCGTGATCACCTGGCAGCCTAAAGGATGCAAGACCAACTCCCGGGAGACCAGATCTGTAGGTCATTGCTCTTCTGCACTGGCAATCAAGAAAGCAAAAGTCTGAGGCACACGGTTAGTAGAGCTCCGTACAGACTGGAAGTGAACTTAGAGACTGAGCTGGAAAGGACATAGCTAGGAGCCTTCCCATATGAGAAATCTGTGTCACAGACTCTGTGTGTGTGTGTGTGTGTGTGTGTGTTGATGTAGCTGACGTGTGACTCTTCTGCCACTTCCTCACAGTGATTTGAGTTTTTCATATTATTTTCTTTTCTAATTATAAAAGAAATCCAGAGTCACCGTAGAAATTTTCAAAAACCTAAATAGTATACAAGGTTTTCATTTTCATAACTTCTGTTAGACTTTGGCATATTTCTTTCATCATTTCATTTATAGATTTAGACATTGCCTCCGACATAGAGGATACTGATGGAGTAGGTGATTTTGGAGTAAGCTTTTCTCTTTCACTATGGCAAAACTCTTTAAATTACCCAAAGTACATTAAAGGTAAAAGAGAGAGCCAAGTGGGGAAGAGAAAACTGTGATGCAATTTCCTTGTGAGGCAGCTCAATGAAGTCAAGCCCACTGGTTAAGAGTATTCTCTTATCTCCCTGATTCTCTGCCACCAATCTCAAACCTCCATTGACCAGTCTTGGTAGGACCAGAAACCCCAATGAAAGTGCTAATATTATATGTGAGGTCCTTGGACCTTCTTTGATATACTTTCTATATCAAAGCATAGAAATAGTCTCCAAGATGCCTTTCAAGTGCAAAAATCTAAATGAGGGAGGGAAGAAAGCCTTTTACTCCTGGCTGTTAAACAAGACCAGTGGGTGAGGATGACAATAATAATTGAGCCTTCATGATTAGCACATGCAAAATTTATATATTGAATTTATATTTATATATTAAAATTTATATTTTGAACCCTCAGTATAGAAATATGCTCACTTAAGTCAGCAGGCAGCTTCCTGAAACGGTGTTACTTGGAAATCAAATGACACCATCCAATTTTCTTACTGCATCATCCCAAAGCAACTGATGTTCATCCCTGCGAAATGCAATTTCAAATTTTCAGAACTCTAAGCTTTCTTTAATGATTCAAAACCACCCAGTGGCCTAGGGAAAACAATAGATTATACTTTGTAAAAACCATGTCATGGAAACAAACTAGTACATTCGCTCTTTTCTCTGTCCTTTCCTTAAGGCTTAAACAATGTTAGAATTGAATATCCAATTTCAATTTAGAAAAAAACCCACAATAAATTCACAAATCAAACAATATCTGAAAGAACAACGTCTGAATATCCTGAAGCATTTATCCTTGTAAACTTTCATTATTCTACTCTATGACACATTAAATGATTCATTAGCATCTTGTTTGGAGGGGTGGTGGGATGGGGGATGGTGTAAGCTAAGATGGTGGATGGTTTGGCTTACTGGGAAATGGCACCAGTCTTACTAAAATGTAGATTACAATGATTTTTTTAAAATAGCTTTTTTGCTGTATGAAATGCCAATCTTACTGACAGATAGTTGACATCTAATATTGTTTAAGCATCAGTATACAGCATGAAGATTTGATACATGTTATGTGTTCAAAATGATTATCATATTAAGGTTAGCACATTCTTAGCCTCATAAATTAGCATGTTTTGGGTCTGTGTATAGTGAGAACATGTAAGAATTATTCTCTCAGCATCTCTCAAGTGTCTAATAAAGTATTGTTAACTACAGTCATGACACTGTGCATTAGATTCCTAGAACTTATTTGTAGTATAACTGGAAGTTTGTCCCCTTTGACCATATCCCCTTTTCTACCTCAGTCCCTGCTTCAGCCTGGCAGCCACATTTCCACTTTATTTCTATGAGTTTGGCTTTTATGATTCTATATTAAGTGATATATATTCTATGTTCTATAGAGAATATATTCTGTATTCTATATATTCTGTATTTGTGTTTCTTATTTCACTGGGGTCAGAAGATTTTATTTCTTTTTATGGCCATAATATTCTATCATGTATTCCAATGTTCACCCATCAGTGAACACCTTAAGTTGTGCCCATGGTTATTATGAATAATGCTGCAACTTACATGAGGGTACATGTATCTCTTCAATATAGTAATTTCATCTTTAGATATATACCTACAAATGAAATTGCTGGTTCAAATGGAAGTTGTATTTTTTGATGTTTTAGGAATCTCTATACTCTTCTATAGTGGTTCTACCAAATTATGTTCCCAACAACAGTGCAAAAGAGTTCACTTTCTTCACATTCTTGCCTACACTTATCGCTTGTCTGTCTGCTAATAGTGATTCTAACAGAGACAGGGTGATATTTTCTATTTATTTGTGGATTTGAATTGCTGCTCCCTGATGATTAGTATGCTTACCTTTAATCATTGTATGTCTTTTCTTAAAAATTGCCTATTCTGGTCATATGTCCATTTTTAAATCAGATTGTTTGGCTTTTGACTTTTGAGTTGTATGAGCTTTTTGTATATTTTGAATATTAACCCCAAGTCAGATATGTCATTGACAAATATTTTCTACCATTCCATAGATTACCTTTTCATTGTGTTGATTGCTTATTTTGCTGTGCTGAAACTTTTTTATTTGATGTAGTCCCACTTGTTTATTTTGGCTTTTTGCTTTTGGTGTCAGAGCCAAAAACTAGACCAATGACAAAGAACAAAGTCCCATTCCTGACTTCAAACTATATTACAAAACTACAGTAATCAAAGCAATATGGTGTTGACATGAAAACTGACATGTAACAAATGGAACAGAATCAGAGACCAGAAATAAATCCATGCATATACAGTTATCCAATGTTTGCCTAGTGAGTCGGGAAGATTTAATGAAGAAACAACAGCTTCTTCTATAAATGGTGGTGAAAAAATTGGACATTCACATTCAAAAGAATGAAATTGAACCCCTGCCTTACATCCTTCACAAAAAGTAACTGGAAATGGGTTGAGGAGTTTAATCTACAAGTGGATCAAGGAGTTATTTGAAACCATAAAACAAGAAGAAAGCATATGGAAAAACAACCTCTTAATCAGTTGAAATCATCTCTGACTCCTGATATGCCCCCAAGCACTCAGTGGTCTCTTTTTCTAGGAATGTGTTGCTTATGGATTGTGGAGAAAGGATGAATATAAATCATTCTCAATGAACCTATTATCATCATTTTTATATACTAAAAAATATTTTTCAGTTGAGTCCCTGCCAAGTTGTAAAGGTTGACAGTTATTGAAAGGTTTTTGAAATAAGCATGGAACGGTTTTTCAAATCCAGGTTTCACCTTTGCTTCATACCACTTTTCCCAGTCACTGTCTTATCTGGAAAAAAGGGTACTAGTGACCTTACAAGTTTGTTGTGAGACATGTAACTGACTTTTACACACTGACTATCTCATAGTAGGCACTCAATAGTGCTGTTTTTTAAAACTGAAGTGGCAGTAAGCATCTATCTACCTCTTTTGTCTATCAAGAATTTAGGGGGCTATGCTAGACACTTTGGGTGTAAATTTATCATTTAGCAAGTTTAAATGACTTAAAAGGACACCTATGTCCCCATGTTTATTGGTGCTCTATTACAATAGGGAGGATGTGGAATCTACCCAAATGCCCAAAAGTAGATGGCTGGATCAAGAAGATGTAGTACATACACACAATGGAATATTACTCAGCAATCAAAAAAGATAAACTCATGCCTTTTGCAGCAACATGGATGGAGCTGGAAGGGATCATGCTTAGTGAAATAAGCCAGAAAAAGAAAAATACTGGATGGTTTCACTCATAGCAGGAATGTAAAGGACCAGGAAAAACAAAAACAAAAACAAAGCAATTGTAATAAAGTAAAAATGAAAAACAATGAAGAACTAGAAACCAGAGACATTTTATGGGGTTGGAGAGGAGAATAGGATCAAAACTGGGGTGGGGTGCGGAGAGTGCATGGAACTATGATGATGGCACATGGGTGAATTGGTGGTGGGAAGTCTATGCGGATTACAATTGAGATGAAACAATGCACAAAATGAAGAACGATGTAAAAAATAAACAAATTAAATTTAAAAAATGATTTAGAAAGCTTATGAGTTAGTAGTGTTAGAGAAAGTCTGTATACAGTATGTACTTTGGAATCCAGTGGCAGGGTGACACATTGAATTGAAAAGGTAGCTAATAACGTGTTACCCATACTGTCTGGTGGGATAGCTTGCCCTTAGCTTAACAGAAACTTTATTTTTAGGGTATAATGAGGGGAAGCAGAGATTCAATAAGGACTCAAAAGCCCCCATTCACACTTGCATAGATATGCCAGGCCTTCCCTAGAGAGCCTTGAGAAATCGAGTGTCTTCTTTCCTTTTCCTAGGGATTTACAGATCCTGTCTACCGTGCCAGACGGAAGCAGTTTGCTGACATTGCCTACAACTACCGACAGTAAGTCTGCTTTACTTATTGGGGTAAGAAAGAAGACCACATTCCTGGCCTACCTCTCTCTTGCCCAAGGTTAGAAAATAGCAGCATAGAGACTCCTGTTGTGTGTGTGTGTGTGTGTGTGTGTGTGCCTGCGTCTGTTTGAACCCTCCCTTTAATAACACGTGTTAAAAAAAATCGCCGCCAGACAAAACAAATTTACCCACTGCGCAGGGCCCAGCTCTCTCCCAAGCTTTGTTGTGTAATTATGCAGTGATGTCTGAAGTAATTATAAAAGGCCTCCATCCTGAATAAAACAGCCTCTGGTATTCTCCACATTAAATGAGGAAGAAGGAAAAAGACAATCATTTACATTCAAGATGGAGTTGGCTGCTTTGCCGAAATAATGAATCCTTTGAGGTTTCAGACGAGCCAAGTTTCGTGTTCTACTTTTATCTGATCTGACCCAGCTGCGAAGGGCAATTTTAGCACGAGTTTATTTTGCCAGGGATTTTTATACTCCTCCTCTACTCTATCTTGGCCAAAGGAAAATGCAAATAGCAAATATATCATTTAGGGAGAGAATTATTTTGCTATTTTAAGCCCTCAGGAACTAGAGAAATGCTCCCATGGGGAACTGAGGTCCATTCCAGAATGAGCTTGAAAAAGATGTGCATAAGAAAGAAACTTAAATGTTGACCAGAACGCAGAGATAATATCACTTGAATAACTTGGGTAGAATGTGAAGGAGGTGACAGGACTCTGTCTACAGCACCAACATCACCTTCCAAATGGAAGGGAGAAATTCCATTCTCTTCATGATTGTTGGTGGAAGAATCCAGAACTGTGCTGACCGTAGTCTAGCAAATCTGAATCTTGACATTGGGCAAGCAGAAATCATAGACCAAGGTGACCCTTCTCTTGTCTCTGTCCACTTTTGCCCCAGCAGAAGGTCAGGTGGACACCACAGATCAACTGCAGATGAGACTCTTTCAAATAATGAATAATAATAGACCATGTTCATTATCTCCTTGTGATGTCTGGGACTTTGCTAAATGCTTTGTTTACATTATTTTACTTAGTATCAATAATAACCACATTACTCAGATGGGAAAACTAAAGCTCAAAATGGCTAAGTAACTTGTGCTTATATAACTAGCATCTTCCAGTTTTAAACTTAGTTTTTTCTAAGTTCTTTTTTTTTTTTTTTGCAATAACATTAGTGTACAACAACCTATATGAGCCAGTGGCATAGATACACATCTCTTCAATAATATATGACATACCACATCCACACCAGAGCACCATAATCCTCCACCATCGTTCATTGGGCTCCTTTCCTCTTGCCTCTTCCCCCGTACCAGCCCCCTCTAGTAGCTTCCCTTCTGCAATTAGACTTCTAGGACTTTTAAAGAGGGGGATTTGTTGTGTCCAAAATACTTCTGAACAATTTCTATGAGTGTCTTGGGACCCTTTCCCATATAATCCACAGGCAGCGTAGGGGATATGTTCACTCACTTGGTTTTTGGGACTTGAGGGGAGAAACTAATCCTTTTCAACCCCCTTTCCATAAAAAAACATCAACCCAATGAAGGAGTGTGGAATTCACCAAATGTCTCATGATCCTGGATGTTAAGTAGAGAGGTTAATTGGTTATTAAAATCCATCTGCCGATAGCTGGTCTCAGGAGATCATGAGAGAAGTTCAAGTCAGTTTCCCACCTCTTATCGATGAATACTAGATGATTAAGTGATGCGCCCAAAGTTATGTGGGTTGAACTTATTCTCACATTCAAATTCTGTTTTAGACCTTATTTTAGTTCATCTCTTGTCAGATGATGCTGTTTACCATCCCTTCCTCCTTTGAAATTGTACCTTGATATCTGGTACAATTGATTCTCATGATTCCAAGATCACTTGCTTAAACTTACTGAAATCTCAAAAATCAATATTTGTGGAGCTTTCATAATCATCCCCATTTATGGAGAGAGTAGGGGAAATATTTAGTCTCCTGATGTACAAGTTCCCAGCTGAGGTTAAACAAGGTGACTCTGTCTTCTTAGATCATAACCAATTGTTCTTTTAGAGGTCAATTTAGATCAGAGCCACCGTTGTCAAATAGGTGTGCTTTATATTGGTAGTTTTGCTTTTAAAAATGGTGCACCTCCCTTCTCCTACAGCGTCTTGGTGAAGTACTGTCTAGTGTTCTGATGGCTTGAGGCTGGAATGTCCTTGAAGGAGAAAGTGTGTGTGTGTTACGTAAGCATCATTTGGGCAGGAGTCACAGTGCTGTGAGTTCAGTGTTAACGATTTAATTGTATATATTAGATACGTGAGCTTTCAACAGAAGCATACATAGCACAAGGTTGGGTGTTATCATTTGCTATAAATGTGATCAGAAAAGTTCACAGAACCTAGCCCTGTGTGTCTCCAAGGAGAAGCTCAGGGTTTGCTGACGTCAGGGTTTGCGGTGATCTTATGGAACAACTATGGCAAATAGTGACAACGGAGACATTGTACCATCTGCTGGTTCCCCTCCTCCCTTTCTGAGTCTTTCAGAACTCTCTGGCCTCTTCATCTTCCTTTAGAAATTGTGACCACTTTTAGGACCCCAAGCTAAGCCTCTTCCTTGCCTTCCACCACATTCCATACTAACACTTCTCACATCCCGATCTTTAGTGCCTTCCCAGTAAGTGTTACATGTGGGACTCAACTCGTGTCATCTACAGAAGTGTGTACCCCAGAACTTACCCTCAGAGCAAGACTAAGAGTCCATGTTGTCGGGGGCAATATTAGGAAAAATATATGGCAAGAAAAGTAACCAAGTGATAGGTGTTACCAGTGTCAAAACACGTGTAAAGAAGCAATTTCATGAGGAGTTTGAAGGTAGACTGAAGGGACAGGCTAGTAGCAAGTGATGTTGAGACAAGGAATTGAAGATAGAATTAAGAGTTTGCCAGCCAAAGAGAAAGGTGGCAACCAATGAGAGGGTGGGTTTTGTTAGCTATGGGGCTTTTCATTGATTTTGAGAAGTGTATATTTGGGGGCAGAGCTGAGGTACTGCAGGCAGTGAGGAAGCAGTGAAACATTGCTAGGACTAGGTCAACACGCTCTGCTCTGGGCGTCTCCAGCTAGCGCTTTGATGTTCCTCCAATAGACAAGTGACCAAAAGGCTCAAAACGTCAGTTTGAACAAGCACAGGCAAAATAAAATTGTTTTGGGCCACCAAATAACATGTCGTGGTCAGAAGTCGAGCGTGGGGTAGGAAGCCTGTACTTCTAGGTGCTGGGGTATCTTTTTTTTTTTTAAAGATTTATTTATTTGTGTATACAGAACTATACAAGTCAGAGGCTCAGGGGTGGCGAGAGGCTTCACCAGAGACAGAGTGGGGAGCAGAACAGGCAGATCGACTAAGTACATTGCTGAGGGGGGCAGTGGGCAGGTCAGGAGAGGTCTGCCTCGCCATGTGGTCACCTCCGGGGCAGGCAGGGATCGAACTCATGCGGAAGTGGCTTTAGCTTCTCAGTGCAGCGCTTTAACCCACTGTGCCACTAGGGAGGGCCTGCTGGGATATCTTAACTGGCCCATTCGGCTGGTGGAGTGATTCAGAAATCAGTCTACTTAAGACATTGTTTTTGAAGAGGTGTCCTAATTGACTTAACTAGAAATCTATATTTCTAGCCAAACTGTCTTCTGAAAAGAGTTTATTTTACTTAATGAGATCATGGCCTAATAAAATGAACTGACAATTTCTTCAAAGACTGCGATCTCATAAAACCTCAGGTCTGTGTGCAAAATGACTCCTGAAATACGACATCCAGAAAGCTTTTCACATAGTGGTTATGGATCGCCAGTGTAACATGACAATATAGGTTTGATTGTCTCTGTTTTGAAGATCTATATGCCCCAGGTCTCACACTCTAGGAAGCTACAGAGCTGGAATTCAGACTCTCCTCACTGTTCCCGGCCAAGTAAGGGTCTGGACGACAGACCAGGTTGTCCAGGTCTAGGTCAGTGGCAGTTGCTTAGAGCTATCCCTGCCTGGAGCTCCAGGGACGAGTACTTGTGAGACTACAGAAGCTGAATCAGAAGCTCAGGCATGTGGAAATTAGTCTTGATTCTGTTTCTGGACATGGCATTGGATTTTGAAGTTTTTACCTAAGAAGAGGCCACATGGGTTATAAGAATTTGCTTCTTTCAGCTACAAGTTAATGCAAACAAAAAGGGGGGCTTTATTGGCGCTATAAAGAAATGTCCGAGGGAGCTAGTTTAGGATCGGTGGAGCCTCTCCTTCCTACTTTGCTGTCTCTTTGTTGACCTTGCTCTGAGGCATTGGTCTCTTCTCCCTTTCAAGTGGACCCGAGGACCACCAGGCTAACATTCTACCCCAATGACAGTTTCAGACTTTCTCCTTGAATCTTACTGGTTCTGATTAGGTCATGGACCAGTCTCTCACCTGTCACTGTGGCCAAGGCAAATAGGTGTTCTGATTGGCCAAGTCTGGTCACATAGCCACTCTGAAGGATGAAGTCTCCTGCTGGAACCTCACAGAGGAGGCTGCTTTTAATGAAAGAACAGAGAAAGGATGTGAGTTCCTGGAACAACTAATGTTAACCAGTGGACATGTCAGGATGCTACTATCTCTTGAAAATTTTTGCAGAGGGCCCTCCCAGGTGGTACAGTGGGTTGGAACACAGCACTGCAAAGCTTGCCACGGCAGCTTCAATGCGAGTTCAATCCTCCACCCCGGAGGTGACCCACATGGAGCGGTGGACCTCTCCTGACCTGCCCGCAGCTGCCCTCAGCAGTGTACTTTGTCCATCTGCCTGTTCTGCTCCCCGCTCTGTCTCTGGTGAATCCTCTCACCCCCTGCACCTCTGAACTGTACCCCAGTTCTGTATGCATAAATACATAAATCTTTAAAAAAAGAAAAATTTTTGCAGAGACCACAGATTCTTTCAACTTAAGAATTAGTTATAATGATAATTAGCAGTTCCTCAATGGTGTTATTATCAACACCCATGTTAGGTATTTTATATGTAATATTTCACTTAATTCTCCTCCACACTCTCTAAAGAGCTACTTATCATAGTCTGTGTAACAGGATGAGGTTTGTTAAATTGTCTGAGGTCATTCACCTAGGAAATAGCAGAGCCAAATTTCAAACTCACCTCTTTCCATCGCCTGTTCTGTTTCTCCATCAGCACTTAGTCCTGAAATATCAGCGTGTCCTCAGGTCAAGAGCTCCTCTGACATTCTTTTCACCATCTTTACTGGTCATTGCGGGACCTTTTAAGCTTGTCTTGTTTCAACTCCTAAGCAAAAAATCTTTCCCTCTTAATCCCCATCTGCCTCTCTGTGGAACATAACAGCAACTTGGCTTTCATGTCCTTGGATGAGCCACAAGTCTGAAAGGGCAGGTTTGGAGTTTGAGTGATGATCCCTAATTCCAAGGTAAACAGTTCCGCCTTGTCCCAGACACTGTGTGCCTGTTAGGAAACAGGCCTGCGGCCCAGAAACAGTTCCGTCTTTGAAGTCCAGTTTTGTTTGGTTTTCATTTGTTTTCACTGTTCGGAACACAGCTCATTTTTAGGTGGCTTTCAAAAGGACATTTTGAACTAATAACTCTCAAGCTGTAGTGTATTATCTGGAAGAATACTGGATTCTAGATGTCTGGCTCTCCCTTCCCCACAGATTTGGGGTTCATGGGCAGGAGCCAACATTTATTTTTTTTTCTACTTATTTTTTAAAGATTATTTATTTATTCATACAGAACTGAGGTACAAGCCAGAGGTGCAGGGGCAGTGAGAGGATTCACCAGAGACAGAGTGGGGAGCAGAACGAACGGACAGATGGACGAAGTACACTTCTGAGGGGAGCAGCGGGCGGGTCAGGAGAGGTCTGCCGTGCCATGTGGGTCACCTTTAGGGATCCAGAGGCTGCCACCATGCAGACTGTGGCGGGTTCATAAATTACTTAAAAGAGGAACAGTCTACTACTTGATAGTAGAATCAAGTAGATTCTACTTGATTCTAGATAGCAGAGTCCCTGGTTCTACTTGATTCTAGATAGTAGATCGGGGATCGAACTCACACTGAAGCGGCTGTGGCGAGCTTACAGTGCTGCATGCATCCTAACCCATTGTGCCACCAGGGAGGGCCTGATTTCTTTCTTTTTAATTAATTTTTCCCCTACTGTTTATTGAGGTAATTCTGGTTTACATCATTGTGTTTTTTCAGGGGTTCAACCCTCTACAAACATATCTTTTCACAACCAAAACCCCAATCACCCTCTGCCATGCTCCATTGGATCCCTCCCCTTCTGGTTATCTCAGTTTTGTAGTCAAATGTCAATGGTTTGTTATTTTGTCTCACCTGCCTTGTGTCTCTGTACTCCACATGTAAGGACACCCTCTGGTATTTGTCTTTCTCCTTCTGACTTACTTCCTTTAATATACACACTTTCAAAACTTCCATGTAATTCTCTTATGTTATAGCAGAGATGCTGGGGAAGCACATCTTATACTGGATGTGCACTTAAATACCTTTTTCATTCCCAGGGGCAGGGATATGCAATCCAGCAAGCACATGCTCACCACATCAGGGGTTTCAGACTCAGGCTGCACAGCAAATCCACCTTTACCCCCAGATGCAATTCTCTAGTGGACATCATACCACAGGTTACTTTAACTGAACCCAGATGCTTGGCTTAAAAAATGAGTGTCTTCTTAAGTAGTCTCAGCACATTGATTTTATCTTCTGGCCCCTGAAGGTGAGTTTCAACACTGAGTAAATAAAAGAGCAGACAGGCCAAATGGTTTTCCAAAGTGTGAGCAAATCCTCCATGCAGGTGGCAAGGTAAGAGCTTGTGTTGCTTTACCAAACCAGGAGTTCTACTATCTAGAATCAAGTAGAACCAGGGACTCTGCTATCTAGAATCAAGTAGAACCTACTTGATTCTACTATCAAGTAGTAGACTGTTCCTCTTTTAAGTAATTTATGAACCCGCCACAGTCTGCATGGTGGCAGCCTCTGGACCCAGCTCATCTACTCACCCTCCTCCTTCACCCCCCCACCTGTGTTCTAGTGGGCAGCCCATCCCACGAGTGGAGTACACGGAAGAAGAGAAGAAGACTTGGGGCACAGTGTTCAGGACCCTGAAGTCCTTGTACAAGACCCACGCTTGCTATGAACATAATCACATCTTCCCGCTTCTGGAAAAGTACTGTGGCTTCCGCGAGGACAATATTCCCCAGCTGGAAGAGGTTTCCCAGTTTCTGCAGTGTAAGTCCACATCAGGGTCAAGTTTATATCTGGATATGCTAACATAAGTCCGGGCGAGTGTGAGTGTTTGTGGCAATGCCTGTAGGCTGAGTCTCCCCAAGAAAATGAAATTGCACTGCAGTGTCTGCCGCATTTAGTTTCCATCATCAGTCCACGCCCACCCAAGAAAAGGCATCAGGTGTGAGTCTGGCCTTATGTATGTCCCTGCACAGTAACTTTTTACCCAATGCCCAGGGTGCTCAGCAGGTTGTGCTGGCGTGTTTTAAGGTGGCTCAGGGTGACTTGGGTAGGAAGTGTGCACGGTCCCTAATTCTGCATGCGCACCCAGTGTGATTCTTGTTCTGACTCACTCTCACTGGGTGAACCTACTTCAGCCACTGATCCAAGGGAGATTGGGGCAGCCTTTCTCAAAGGGAAATTGTGAGAATGCAAGAAGATTCTGCCTGTGAAAACACACAACCCGGAGCTACACACAGGAGATGCTCAGTGAATTGGGCTGAATTAGAATCTGAGCAGCTCACTGGGGAAATGCATGATGGGAAGACTGGCCTTTGCATGTCATTTCCACGAAAGGCATTTTACTTGCTGCCAGGAGGTGTTAACTAAAATAAACAATCTACTAACACATAGTGAACACTTATGCCAGCAAGAATGAAGGGAAGCAAAGAGACAAACCACAGCTTTGTAGAAAGGAGATTATATCTCTGGGCTGTGCAGAAATGGGGTGGTCCTTGCCCAGTACTGACTGGGCATGGAGCCAGGAAAGCTAGACAGAGAAATGGTAGCTGGGACAGATTGGGGTAGACTAAATGGTCTTTTGGAGCCCCTCCATTGAAAAAGTCTTGACTTCTCAGGTAAAGAGGAGAGTGAGAACCCAGGCAGAGGGACAGAGTCATCCTAAAGACATTCTGTAGATAAGTGTCCATGTTCCCATTAATAAGAATAAGACAGCACTTGGGCATTTGTAAGAGTCATGAGTAAGAGAACAGACTCTGAAACCAGACCACCTCCTATAGCTGTGACCTTGGAAAAGCACTTTGACCCCTTTGTGGCTCAGCTTCCCCAACTGTGAGGAGGGGTGCTGAGAGTATCTACCTTGTAGGGTTATTATGAGGACAAGTGAACATAAATAAATTGCTGGGGACAGTGTCTAATGCCCGTTAACTTATAGTGTTACTTATGTATCATCATTATGGTCATTGTCATTATTATTCGCCTTCCAAGTTTGAAACAAATTGAGAGTTCTAGGAACCAGAAAAGATATGATTAAAATGCCACCTTTGCTGCTGATAGAACCTACTTAGAGGATGTGGCACAGATGTGCAGTCCAAATGGCCTTGCTAACTGTTCTCCCAGTTGAGGCAAGCCCGCCTCCCAATCACATGGCCAGGAGCAAGCCAACGATGCACCTCTGTGGATAGAGACAATCAAGAAGGAAAGGACAGGAGGGGTTGAACATTAGAATAATCTTTTCCTCTTCTCAAATGACCAGGGAGGGGTATCACTGCTTCTTATGGAGCAACTGCTTGAAGTTCACTGTAAAAGCTAGAAGTGCCCCTTTTGTGCTTGTCTCTTTTGAGGGAGTGGAATGAAAGGTCCTTCTGTACTCTGGAATCATGGGAGGTCTGGATGAGTGCTCCACCCTCAAGTGCAGTGAGGAAGCTGAGTGCATGGGGATGTTTTCAACATGCTGGACTCTGTGCTGCGAACTTTATATTTATTAGATAGTTTGAGTCTTGAAACAACCCTGAGAAATACCAATCCACATTTTTGCCGATGAGGAAACTGAGGCTCACAGAAGGGAAATTACATGACCCCAGTTTCCCAACTAGAAAGTATTGAGGCCAAGACTGGAAACCAAGTGTGTTTGCAGGCAGTCTTCATGCCTCTCTTCTGTGTGTGCTCTGCTTCCCTACGCTAGGTCTTCAGACATATCTGGCTCTGCTGTGATGGATTTTGAGTTATGTCTTTTTCTTTTCCAGCTTGCACTGGTTTCCGCCTCCGACCCGTGGCTGGTCTTCTTTCCTCTCGGGACTTCTTGGGTGGCCTGGCCTTCCGAGTCTTCCACTGCACCCAGTACATCAGACATGGGTCCAAGCCCATGTATACACCTGAACCGTGAGTATCATCTTCCTGCTCCCAGTTGCTAGACACAGTGAATGTCACCTTTCCCTGCCTCAGAAACAAGGTTCATGGCAGCCTAAGCCACAGAGCTCACTGCCTGCACGTTTGATGGTAACGGCACTAAAAGAGAAACTCATTTCCCCTGGATAGTTTCTCTGTCCGGATAGACCCCGCTGATTGGAGACATGGGCAGTTTGTAAAACAAAGGCTCAGATCTCCCCTGACTAAGGAATGCGAAGTCATATTCAAGTTATGAAAGGATTGATATTCCAAATGGGAACAGGAATACGTGGTAGCAAGCTATCTCAGCGCCCTCAAATGCACACCTTGATCAATCTGGTTTTTCTTTGTCTGCATTATATTTTGGCTGGTAATACAAATGCTTCTTACTTTTTTTTTGCACTTAGCCATCCTCTCAGTCAGACAGAACTTATGCAACTGATACCAAAGAGTCAGTACAATGCCCAAAATGGGTTTTCCCTGCTCATAAATTCATTACTATAAATCAGAAAAGTTCTATTCCCAATGGACCTGGCACATAAAATTTTAGATGTAAATAGGTTTTCTTTTATGACTGACTTCTGCTCCAGGAGAGGAATAGTAACATTTTAAAATTTGTTTTTAGCTCCCATGGGGAACAACTGATCATCGTCTATCTTCCCGGGAATGTTAATATCAGGAAGACTTAGATTAGGATGTTTCACAACTCCTAGCTCACTCTGGTATATGGGGTGATGCCCAGGAAAATATTTGCTCTACTGGTCCACACCCCACTGAGCAGATACCCAAGGCCCCTGCTGCCCTTTCCTGTCTGCCTGTCCCTTTGCTTCTCCTTCCCTTTCTTCCTTTTCTGTTGTACCTTGCCTCAGTGACCTCAAACTGCGTGCACCCTCTGTTCTTGGGAATGAGGTTATAAGCCTGAATGAGTTCCTCCTGCAGTAGAAATCTGAAAGATGAGAAGAAAAGCCAGTCTGATCGATGGCCTTCTTCCCATCCAAACTCGAAGTTTCTGTCTTCCAGTGACATCTGCCATGAGCTGTTGGGACATGTGCCTTTGTTTTCAGACCGCAGCTTTGCCCAGTTTTCCCAGGTAAGGAACGGATCTCTTTAGCCTTCTAGTGACAGAATTGTGACCTTGGCTGCTCAAATTCATTAAACCCTTGCAGAGGGAATGCGTGTGCCCTCTATAAGTATGAAACCCTGCTATAGCACACCTGAGATGTGTGGTCCCAGCAAGCTAGCTCTCCCACAGCAGCCAGAGCAAACATTTCATGACCTTCTTTCTTCTCACCTCCCCATTTCACCAAGAACAAAATGAGCCTTAAAATAGCTAACATGGGCCCTCCTTGGTGGCGCAGTGGGTTAAAGCACAGCACTGAGAAGCTAAAGCCACTTCCACATAAGTTCGATTCCCGCCTGCCCAGGAGGTGACCACATGGCGTGGCAGACCTCTCCTGACCCGCCCGCTGCTCCCCTCAGCAGTGTACTTCGTCGATCTGCCTGTTCTGCTCCCCATTCTGTCTCTGGTGAAGCCTCTCGCCACCCCTGAGCCTCTGGCCTGTACCCCACTTCTGTATGCACAAATAAATAAAAATCTTAAAAAAAAAAATAACTAACATGGCACTACCTCGTCAGGTTCCAGACCCCTCTTTGATCTCACCTGCTACGCCCTCTGTTACTCTGCTTTGCCACTGCAGTTCATCCCTGTTGCTTGAACCAACTGTAGTTTCCCTTCCCTAGACAGCTTTCTCACCAGTTACATGCTTAGCATGCACAATGCCTTGCCCTCATATATTAGAAAGGAGAGCCACCAATGTCACATCTATCTCTTTGTTCAAGTATCACTTTCCTGGTGCTCACCCTGGAATCCAATTGAAATCTCAGCCTCTCTGTCCTTGTTCCTGCTGCCTGTATTTCTAATCCCTTTGCCCCCTTTTTCCTTTTGTTTTCTTTCCCCAAAGAAAAAAATCACATTCTAACATACACCTGTATCTGCTTATTATTTATTGACTGTTTCCACCCACTCAGAGGATCTTTATCAGTTTTGTACCATGTACATGGAACACACCGAATAAATATCTTTTGAAATGAATTTATCTGTTAGGGAAGACACAGATATAAAGTTTGCCTGATGCAAGGTGGAGTGGAGCTGATGCCATAAGACACACATGCCTAGTAGAGGAATTCTGCAGCTGAGGCCGGGATGAGAAGTGGCCCAGGACTTTTCAGACTCTTTCAGAAATGCCAGAAATCATCGGGTCACCTCCCTTCTCTGTTCTTTAGTTTTCCCTTTTGTAAAGTGAAACCAAAGACCCATGTGCTGGTGAAAGGCTTCCCACTCTCTAGAGATCTGTGATTCTAAGATGTATGGTCAAGGAATGCTTCAAGGACAATCAGAGAACCCTCAGGTTTACTGTCTGAAGTTATCTGTTCAACCATTACCTTCCCAAGGTCAATTACAAGACTGGGATGGAGGGGCAGGTTGACCACAAGCAAACACCAGCCACACCAGCAACTCTCTTTCTCTAAAATTACAGGAGATTGGCCTCGCCTCTCTCGGTGCACCTGATGATTATGTCGAGAAACTCGCCACGGTAAGTCCCCTCTCCCTGGTGGGTAGTGGGACAGCTTAACCCTCAGGTCTTTGAAGCTCTGTTCTTGCCCTTGAGAGTCAGGCCATTTGGGGAAAAAAATCAGAATGAACTTTCACATTATTTCTTCTAAACAGTTTGCTGTTAAAATCAACTGCATGTAGATGTAAATTTATACAGTGTGTCTTGAAAACACCAGCAGACTATAAGGATAGCCCTGAGAGACCTCAGTCAAAGTATATGTGAGGAATAGCCTGGGTTCATGGCTCTGTAGAGAGAATATTCACATTATACCTTTATGCTGGAAACTCATTGGGATCTTTTCTCAAAACACAAGGGGCCGGGGCTTCCCCCTCTTACCAGAAACTTTGCTCTTCTAACGTGACTACTGTCCTCCAGGGAAGCAGAACATTGCACAGTAGGGGTTTCTTTCCTGTAGCTTCTCTTTTCAGCTTCTAAGTCACATTTATTATACATTGCACAGCTTGGAAGTTGAAAAAGGAAACTTTATAATGAAATCAGGTGATTGAAAAATCCATCACTCAGATGTCAGGTTCTAAGTTTGCTTCCTCATATCTGAAAATGGACATAATAGTTTATAACCTGCTCATCTCAAAAGTGAATTATTAGGTCCAGAGAGTTCAGTGTTTGCACACATGAGTTATTGAGTAACAGATGCAAGAGGCAGCTATCACAGAAGCTGAGGAGCTTAGTAGAACATCTCATTTGTGAGAAGAAAAACTTAGACCCCAAAGCATCACATTCTCTTCTGTAACAATGGTAAGAAGCATTTAACAACCTAACTTCTCAAAGAAAAATCTTAGTGTTCTTGTTGGTCCTTGATTTGCTGTGTGATTGTATGTTCGTTGTTTGATGTCTCTGAGCTGAAGACTTCTCATCTGTATGTAAGGAGATCAGACTCGCAGAGATCTCACACACTTCCCAGAATTAATAATCTCTAACGCATTAAATATCTAACATACTCCTAATTCCTCAAGACCATAACTTGAGTTTCTTTTGACTTTAGTCAGTAGAGTTATGCCAAAACTCCAGGACCACCTTTCCCAGGCTAGGCTTCTAGAACATGTCAGACGGGGAATTCTTGAAAGAAAAGAACTTGATTATTGGGGAAGGATAGTATAGCACCCCATTTTTGCACAATTTGTTGCATGTCGCTCACTGATTCTATTACTAGCCAACCCCCAACTCCCACTTCTGCACCTGATGGGACTACCTGTTAAGTCAGATCAATTTAGGGGAACATCTCACTCTAGTGAGAAAAACAGAAGGGATGCAGGACTTGTCACAGAAATACTTATTGGTTGGGATGGTCTTTCTGGGGTTGGTTTAATACTGTCTTGCTGTTTCCCATCACTCTTTGCACTCAGCCAGTCCTTGCATCAACAGGGTGACACAGAGGGCTTGGAGAAGTGTCCCAGATCACAGTGACTCAGGCAACAGGCCTTAGACAAGCCCCAACCTGGGCAGTCCTGTCCTTGGGGGCATCTGCTTCATTCCTTCCTTAGGATGCCCTCTCAACTTGACTTTCCATTTCAGATTTACTGGTTCACTGTGGAGTTCGGGCTCTGCAAACAAGGAGACTCTATAAAGGCATATGGCGCTGGGCTCCTGTCATCCTTTGGTGAATTACAGGTATGACCCTAATTGGAACCAAGGATGGGTTAGAAAGTGGAGGGTACCAGAGAGCCTCTTGGTACTTGTTAAACCTAATTTGCACCCATCATGATCAACCTGAGGACTTATCCTCCAATACTGACACCTAAGCAGCTATGATTTTCTCATGCCTGTGGTGTTAGAGAGGTAGAAATTTTATCACAAGCACACAAGTGTCCAGGGAAGAGGGGTCTCCTGAGTCCAGGCCTGCTCTGTTCATACAAATATTGGCTCCTGCATGACCTAGTGACCACCTTACCTGAGGATGATTGGGGTAATTACTCCTATCTTGACTGTAAGTTTCAGATGGGCTGTGAAGAGTAGCGTCTAGTGCTATCAGCCTTTCAAATCTGCATTTTCCCCATCTTCATCTTTCACCACCTTGAATAAAAAATATACACTATCCACATAGTTAAGGCATGGCAGCTGTGTCTGTACTACTGAACACATGCAGACACACGTATCATTATTCCCTAAACATTGTACAACAGATGCTAACATAGTCTTTACATTGTACTAGGTATTAGAAGTAATCTACAGATGCTCTAACATACATCAGAGATGTGTATAAGCAGCCACATGCAGTTACTGTACCATTTTATGTAAAAGACTGAAACGTGTAGATTTTGGTATCCTTGAGGATTCCCAGTACCAATCCCTGGCAGACACCCAGGAGTGACTGTATACGCAAAATAATCGAATTTACAGTATTTGGACTGGGGTGTGGAAGGCATCAGGGGAAGATGAGGGGTACAACAGGGACCACCCACCTGATCTAACCATGCAAACTTTCCACTTGGGGCCTGCAGTACTGCTTGACCGACAAACCGAAGCTCCTCCCCCTGGAGCTGGAGAAGACTGCTGTGCAGGAATACACCATCACGGAGTTCCAGCCTCTGTACTACGTGGCTGAGAGTTTTAATGATGCCAAGGAGAAAGTGAGGTGAGGTGGTGACTGAGGTGGGTCAGGAGCCCTTGGCATTCCCTCCTGGGTCTGTGCCACTGATCTGTAGGTGGTTGGCGGAGAGAGTGGGCACCAGAGTTTACAGCAACATGGGCAGCAGACAGAGCCAGCTCTGCATCTTGCTCAGGCCGAGGATCTAATTACAGGATTTGAGGCAGGATCAGTGGTCAGAACACGGTGTCCGCCACTGTTGCGAAACTTGGAGAGCCCTGGTGGTCTTCCTTAACAGCATGTTCTTAGGATGCAGGAGCCAACCTGGAAACCTCATGTGCGAAGATATTGCATTTATAGGCCATTGGCATAGCTGCTTAGTGAGAGTGCTTCATGTCCCTCCTGAGGACCTCCTGTGGTGTCCTTCCTGACCCAAGAGTAGCCTGCAGGGGAGATAGGGCTGTGAAGAGCACAGGATTGGGTTCTTTCTTAGCTCCACAACTTTTTGACAATATGGCCTTGGTTCACCCTTTGCTTTCCCAAGCATTAGTTTCCTCATCAGCAAAACGGGGTTAATAATAATGCTTTCTCTTAAAGTTTCAATGAAGTTTAAAATAGGCACGGTAGCTGTAAAAAGTATAGAAAAGTTAGGACTAAACAATTTTTGGCATATAGGAGGTTCACAATCTGTTAAATGGTATTATCAGCAGAATGTTTTCTTCAATACTTTATTTTTTTCTATACTACTCTCTGGCTATTTCACTTACTCTCGATCTTATTTAATGAAAAAGTTGTGGCCTAATGGTATCCTGTTTTATGGTCAGCTGTCTTTGCCTTTTTGCAGGTAGGCAACTAAATGAAAATATGTGTCCATATGTTTGTATATACACACACAGCACACTCACAAAGGCTTCCCCAGGGGACCTCACTAAAACTCCCCTTCACTTCTAGGCTGCCTTCTGAAGTCCTGCTCTCGTGAGATGTGGGTCTGTTAGTGGCCAATGAAATGCCACTGAGAAAGCTCTTAGCATTATTCTCCCCTACATGATACCCTTCGCTGTGGCTTTGCTTTCAGAAACTTTGCTGCTACAATCCCACGGCCCTTCTCCGTGCATTATGACCCATATACCCAGCGGATCGAGGTCCTGGACAACACCCAGCAGCTGAAGATTCTGGCTGATTCCATCAACAGTAAGCAACTTCCTTTACCCTATGAGGCCATTCTCTTTCCCCAAAATAGAGGGTTGTGCTTTTATATTTTCACAATAAGAATAGTAATGAAGGTGCTAAAATTGTTCTAAGGAGAAAAACACCCCCAGGTAAGACCCTGATTTATTGGAAGAGAAAACTTGGTAAAATGAACAGAATTGCTTTGAGTGTCTTTACCCTTGACCTTCCTAGATTCCTGCTGCCCTCTCACCCATCCCAGCTCTTAAGGGGTGGAATGAATGAATGAACAAAGCCATCAAAAAGGTGAACCTAACTGGGAGGAATTCCAGGCCAAGTGGGGTCCCTACCATATGTGATCTTAACAAAGGCCAAAAAGACGGGTGGTCTGAAGTGTCTTTTAGTGCTTTCCACCCTCCCAGGTTTAAAAAAATTATATATATATATGTTTATTTTTGCATCATTTTGTGCCTTTTCCATCTCCGTTGTCATCCCCGTGGGCTTCCCAGCACTAAGTCACCCGTGTGCCATCACCATAGTCCAGTGCACTCCCTTCCCCACTGCTGCTTTCTGATGTTGCCAGAGAGCTGCACATTCTGCGAGCTGGCTCTGGCTGCTGCAGTCCTCCCCACTAGGCAGATTTACCTGCCACCTTCCATTCTGCAAAACCCCAAGGCTGATTCACCCGATTGGTCCCACCTTGGACCTTAGCTGGAAAAGATCTGTTCAAAAATTCCAAGGAAATACCCTGAGATTAAGGATGGAAGAAACAGAGGTCAACCCATTTTTTGCTTTTTAAATTTTCTCTGCAAAGACAAAATGAATCTACATGTTATTTTTATAGAATTTTTTAGATCATAGAATAATATGTTTAGGAACTGCGGGGTCTTTGGAGTGATACAACCTGAACGAGACATCATCCCCTGTCTATACTTCAGCTTCCTCTGGATTTAGGAGAGAGAGAGGCTTGTCCATCTCTAGGGCCCCTTCCACATCTTTGAAGAGCTTGCGTTCCTCTGGCCCTTTGGCACCTGTGAACATGGCATCAATGGGGGCATCACCATCATACGTTAGTCCAGCAGCCTAGGTCATGGCCTAACATGCTTAGGTCATGAATTTCAAACCTAGCACATGTCAGAATCACCCGGAGAACAAGTTAAGTCAAGTCCAGGTTAAATTTACTAAACATGAGTTTGTATTTGTTATAATGCCCACGATGATGCTGATATAAGAGGTTTGTGTGAGTTACACTATTAGGTGTGATGACTTAGCCCTTTACCAGCATCTGTGATGACCTTGTTAAGTCCTTCCCTGAGAAATAGCATATAGAAACAGAAAGGCAATGGCATTAACATTGACAGCACTAACACTTCCTAAAATTTGTAAGTATCTATGTCATAAATACCCAAATTCTATCACCAAACTAAGCTATCAGTAAGCTTCTTGCAAGGCTGGGGTAACCTTTGCAGTAGCTGGTATCCCTCTGACCCCTAGTTCTTTACATAGAAGAATGTTTGCTCCTGTTACGAGTGGCTTATTTGTTTTTCTTTGTAGGTGAAGTTGAAATCCTTTGCAGTGCCCTCCAGAAAATAAAGTAGTCACAGAAATCCAACTACTTTCATCTGAGAAATTATGAAAGACAACCTTAATTGAAAATGACAGCCTTAAGTCCTTTTTGGAACAAGATGGGAATCAGCAGATAAAGGAACCTGAAATGACATCTTAGTAAATACTCCAAAACATCATGGTGTATCTTTTAGGGTCATATTTGATTTTGAGGTGGTAGTATCATATTTTCAATTGCTTTAAATTCAATAACCTATTATACTTCACCCCAGTTAATTAAAATCTGGAATGTATTTTCTTTACGCTTCAAATATGCTTTTGTTATTTACTATAGTGACTTCCTATAGTAGTGAGTATACATCACCCAGTGCAAAACACAATCCTGTTACTATAATTAAATCTGAGGGTTTCATGTGGATATTAACTTACAAAGATCATTTTCTGTTAACTGTAATTTTGTTATTTTTGTCTATGTAGATTTTCTTAAACTTAGGAACCCATTAACCTCTCTAGAAACATTAACAGTTAATGGAATAATACTGAAACTTTTGTTTTACTATAATCACAATTGTTGCTGTGGACACCCATCAAATTCTCCATCTGAGTCCTCCAATTTCCAATGCTGTTTTCTAATTAATTGTTAGATATGTGTTGGGAGATATTATGAAGACACTTACAGTGAAGTAGATATTAACTAAAGGCCTGATTGATAAATATTCATCGAATGAATGAGGGGCTACATTATTAATTAGCAAATCCTCAACAAAAGTGAGATCTTAATCATGTCATTAAACTTTATAAAATTTTATAATTTCAAATGCATATTTTAATAAAATGTAGCCTGAGAAACACACTGACTGGGGCCCTCCCTGGTGGTGCAATGGGTTAAAGCACAGCACTGCAAGCCAGCTGCAGCCGCTTCTGTCTGAGTTCGATCCCCAGCCCTGGAGGTGGCCCGCATGCCACGGTAGACCTCTCCTGTTTCCCTGCTGCTCCCCTCAGCAATGCACTGTCTATCTGCCTGTTCTGCTCCCCACTCTGTCTCTGGTGAATCCTCTTATGGCCCCTGTACCCCAGTTCTGTATGCACAAATAAATAGATCTTTAAAAAAAACACATTGACTGGACTATTTTGTGACATAAAGAATGAGTAGAAACTCACATTCCAGCCATAGCAGGAGCCTGATGTGGTCATGTAGTCACGTCTAGATAGTTTTGGCTTTGCTGGTTGTGCATTTGACATGAATATCTGAGAAAGAGTGGAAAGAACAGCAGTGTTTTAAAAGCTTTGCTATGCATTCTCATGCCACTTTGACATTTGATACCAGAAATCATTGAATCCTAAAGAATTGGCATAGTGTTAAGAGTGATTTCAGGTAACTATCATCAGCAGGAAAACCCAGGCACCATCCCAGCTCTGACCAATGTTGAGAGTGGTGCACAGAGACTTGCATTTTAAAATCCTTTTGATGACTTTTAATGATCAACTGAAGCTGGTGGCCTGTTCTACTCTTGCTAGTAGTATTACCTGCATAATTCACTTCTTTGGACCTTGGTTTTTTCTAACAATAAGGGTGTTAAATTGGATGAATCGAGTTCCCTTTCCATCTTGAAATACAATTGAAATGCTAACATCTGTTTTGAAAAAGCTATCTCTGATCCATTAATTGTATATAATGGTTACTGCCTAAGTATGCCAACCGAGTGGCAAGAAAAATTTGGCTTGAAAGTAACTGAGGTTTCATTGCTTTGAATTTGGAAGAGTCATGTTTGCATCTATTTCCCTATGCCTCTCTAGAACTGATTGACAGGCACTAACTCTGAAAGTGAGGGTAAACTTTTTTCTCTGGTGTTCCTTGAGACCCCAAAACATTCTGCAAAGGGACTATTTTGATAAATGTTTCTTTCTTCACATTAAATGTAAATTAAGGACTTTCTTGACTTTGGAAATTAAATATTACATAGTAAGTTAGTCTGGATAGTTTATAGTTCTATATTTTAGTCCTATTGAAGATAGTTTTATGCAGTTGAAGTCAAAGTTTAGGTTTAGAGCCTTAGACCATGATTGGAAGACAATCTTTGAACTTAGCATTGTGTAACTCAGACTAAGCTAGACTTTGCTCTTAAGCAATGACATTCAATACATTCCTACATTGGCCTTATTATACTTAATGCCTAATAAATAAGCAGTTGTTTGGAAATAATAATAATGTCTTATTAATAGCTAATCCTGTTGTATTAAAATGAAATAAATACTTGTAGGAACATAACAAATATGTAGAAAGATATTTAACATGCTTCTGCAAGGAAGCATCTACATTTTAATTCTACAGTATACAATTTAGCTGTTATTCAAAAAAACTGCTCTAAAATTCCAGTTCCACAAAAATAGCAACTTGGATTAACTTTGTGCTTTTGAAAATCTTAGTACCTAATACATAGTAGATGCCTCACAATTTAAAAAAAGTTCTGAATGGAATCACAGAAAATGTAGTGAAGGTTGTCTCTTACAAATGATTTTGTAATAAAAAATTAAAAAACAACTTCAAGAGTAAATTTTCAATTTTCCCTTTAAAGGCTTGAAAAATTTGCTTTCAGTCCACATTGTGAATTTTTAAAGGAAAACATTACCCCTTCATGCTCAGTATAAATCAGCTTACGGTTATTTACATTTATAACATTTCAACAATAACTGACATACAAAGTGCTTAGTACATGTTTGCTAATTATTAAAAGAAAACAAATTGCATCAAAGAAACATCTCACTACTCATCACGAGGTCTACTGGGAAAAAATGCAAAAAACACCAAATGAAAACAGACTTTGCAAAGGAAAAGGAAAAATGTGAACAGAATTTGTTCTTTCCTGTGGAATGTACCCAAACCGCCCCCCCCACACAGAGCTTTTCTAGACAGTTTCAAATGCTGTATCAATGGTAGATTTGATATGTTGCAGAAATGACTAATAAGTTTCTGTACTGTGAATCTTCTCATTTATAACATTACTTTCAATTCCAAGACACAATTTACCTGTCTATAGTAAACACAATTTCTCTAAAGAATCAGCTCAGAGTGATATGTAATTGCAAAGATGATTGATGTTATCTCTGTAGTAAATATACAACTCTCCTCTATAATATTACTCATAATTATTCAGGGTTATTCTGTAACAATACTTATTTCATATGTTTCCTATGATTTTTTTGGGGCATGTATGACAAAAATCTCTAAACAATAGAACATTAACTTGAAAAAGGCAATAATTTGTCTCTGAGACATGAGCTTCTTATTTCTCCAAGAAGAAGGAAATATTACGCAGAAAGTATAACTTGCCTGCTTATTTTTGGTTTGCCTGAGTAAAAAGAACGCAAATGTCAATTCATTTGAACTGAAATCCTTATTTTTCTGAGTTCATTCTTAGGAGATAGGTGATGCCTAAAGAGAGCAGGAACATCAGTATCTTTCACTGTTATTAAAATCAGTGCACATTTTGGACATTTGTCGTTCACTCTTCCTAGATGATGATTGAAAATTATCTATTACAGAAATAAACTTAGTCCCTTCTAACATCCCTATTCCTAGAGGTTCACAAAGAAGTGCTAGTTGCATTCTGCATTCTGTCCTTCTCTTGAGTTACCTTGCAAATGAGGGCGGTGGCAAAGGGCTAATTTCCACCATCTTTTAAGTGGTCAGAGGAAAGTGGACTCTTGACTTAGAAAGGAGAGATCAGAAATACACCTTTGTATTTTTTAACTTCTACCTTAATCTTTTTTCTATTCCAAAGTATGGCTCTTGGGAGTCTCTCCGAGAATCACTCATTTGTCTCCTTCTACTCCCTCCAATCCCCCACACATCATTTATTTGACTTCCAAGAGACCCAAAGAGGTCACAAAATGCATCGGACCTAAGTTGAGGTCATAATTAATGAAGGCACAGAGAAGGTGTCCCTTATCATAGGCCTCCTCTGTTTGGTACAGAATATATATTAAACCTGCTTAAATGTTCTCCAACCATCAACACTACACAGACATGGAGAGTCAAGCTGGTATAACAGCACTACTTTCAAAGAGTAAATGTTGACCTAGGAAGACTTTTGAGCTCCTCCAGCCCCTCCTCAAACTGGAGAGGATGAGTTCCTTTTCTTGAACTAATAAATTAATCAAATTTCAGAGCAAGGGAGGAATACACAGAACTTTTCCCAAACTTTCGATTCCCAGAATGTCTTTGGGAAAGTCAGGGAGACTCCCTCCAGTATCACTCTTGGAAAAAAATTGTTCCCCAGCAGAACATCCTGCGATTACAATAGCAATTTGATGACAGAGAAATCCCTGAGGTGGAGTGGATGGAGAGAGAACCTGAGTAATTGCTTCACAGAGCAGAACAGCTCAGCACCGTGGACAGCACCCTTGCCCTGAATGACCCACCTGTGTCCCTTTTACCCTTTCCACTTAGTGCAGAAAAGTTGACTTCCAACCGCTAGTTCCTACATTTCTTTGCCTGAAAGTTTAATCTGTGTTCCAAGATTTTGCTTGTCCTGACAGTATATTTATGGTGCCTTGGAATTAATAATTCTCCCATCAATCTTCTGCAAATAGCAAGTAAGAGTTGGTAGAGGTTTTTCTTTTCTATACAGTGACTCCCAGAGTTTCCTCAGTGGGCTTAATTTCAGTTGTCCTTAATAATAGCTGATTACAAATACCAGCATTATCACTGGTAGGCAAAAGTCCTACAGGCAGACTCCTATCTTTCCTATGAACACTATGAAATTTGACTATGGACTTAGGCCAATGTTAATGCTATACTGGTAAAACTTTTAGCACAGAAATATATAGAGAATAGTATTTTGAACATTCCAGTTCATGCGTAGCTTGGAAGGAGTAGATAGATGGAATCAGGCAGAGTGAGTTCTCATGTTCTTTTTTTCCACCATTAACTTTTTGATCTTAAGAAATGCATTTAATATTGCTAAACTTTGGTTTTATCATGTGATAATTGGTGATAATAATATCATACATCTATACATACATGCATACTTCACCAGG